GAAAAGGCACCACATCTCGAGCACTGTGCCTTACATGCTGACCTATGCAAAATGTCCATGACCTATATCACCTAAGGAGTATGTGATTCCTGTCTTTGATGCTGCAGTTTCGAGACTGTGCAGTGCCATTTTTGCTGTGTGGAAGAAATCCATGGGCCGAAGAACTTGAGGAACCAGAAGGAGACACCACCCTCTCCACTGTCAGCAAAAGTAATAATAAAGTTGCACCCACATAAAAAAACTATTTGAATTTAATTACTTTACTTTAGTGATATCCTACCACTCATTCTTCTAAATCTGTTCTTCAGCATATGATTTATCTAAAATTAATGAGAAGCCATTTTTAATTATGAGATTAATGCATTTTATAATGGAATTTAAATTCTGCACATTATAACAGCTAATGGGTGCTATATTGTTGTTGTGAATGGGGTGGGTAACTTAGATTCCTTAAAAACCATGTGTTTAATCTAGCTTCTTAAATGAGAATGGATCTAAATCTTTGAACTATATGATGTGATTATATTTGTGTAATGAGTATTTGTGTTTGTATTATTTACTGGTTGCATGCTTGACGTCCAGCATTAATAAAAGTTCTCTGTTTCTGATACATACCTTATTATGACCTCAATTATCTAAGTTTACCTTTGAAAAAGAGGGAATTGTATCATAACCACCAGTGACTAAATTGCAGTGTGGTCACAGAAGTCACAGACAATCACATGGGAAATCAAAATGAAGTGCAAAACAACTGTAAAATTACTAAAGTGCTCCAATGAACAAAAATGATTCCAAAAGAAGAGAAAACAGACAACAAGAGAAAGTATTCAAAACTGTAATTTTGCAGGGAGCTCACCAACAACAACTGTTTCCAAATGGGCTTTTAAGAAAAACTATCCTGCTTTGGCACAGAACACAGACAAGTCTAGGTTACATTTACTACCAGATCTAAACAAAGAATACTGCACCAAGAGTATCAGATCAAAAACCCATATAACATGTAACATAACATTACTTGCATTAGGAATTTGTCTTTTTGCATACCCCAGCTTGCTCTCCATGAGACACAGACAGGGAGAGAGAAGCTTGGGGTCAGAGCACAGGGTCAGCCATTGTACAGGGCCCCTGGAGCAGTTGGGGTTGGGCTCAGGGGCCCAACGGAATAGGATGCAGGATTTGAACCAGCAACCTTCCAGCCACAGGTGCAGATCCTTAGCCACAGAGCCACCACTCAAGGCTCTATCCTCAGCATACCTGATAGACAGGTAAGAATCCATTTGAACCAGTGGTGAGGTATAGTCCAGATTACATCTGTGATCTTGAGACAAAACAGACAAACAGGAAACAACAAACACAGCACTTCAGATCATTGTGGACCTACTGTAAAACAACAGGTAACACATACAGTAAGAAATAATGAAGACAAAAGTAAACACAATACACCAAGAAGAATAACAATAAAATAATATCAGCAACAGAGACGAGTCCACTTCTTCGTATGCATTCTTAGCTGAAGATAATGAACATGGTTGTTGACAATGTGGAACAGTAGAACATTTAAAATGTGGAAGACCTCAAAGGAGGTCAGGTAATGAGGACATGAACCAGACCTTAGTCATACTGGTGCATTTTAATTTCATAATTAAAGTTTAATCGTACTTAATTTGATATTTTAAATGAAAAAACTTTCACTCTTCCACCCACAATGATTTTAATCTTGGATCTTAAATTTGGATATTAAATAATTACCTAAACACACTACTCTTCAGGACATGCCTAGAAAGGAGTGTTCACTTCAGATCAGACAGTATGTTTTGGACAATGCAATCTAAACGTCATTCTGACTCTTTCAAAAGACAGGGAAGTTCTTTAAGTCTTTATTCCTACAGAGAAAGAATACTGAACTATTACCTACCACTTTCAGAAGGCATTCATTGTTAAGAGGCTTAATTCACAGTATGTTAGGCCCATCCAGATTCAAAGTCATATGAATGAAATGCAAAGTAGAGGTGACCGTGTGAATGTGATATGAGAGTCCCTGTTTGTGCCCTGGAATTGAATTTCGTAATCACAAAGGTTTTACTTCATTTCCAGAAGTGCTTCAGAGAGTCAAAGAAGCTCTGCACTCCGATTTAAATATCTCACAGCTTAGAAAACACGATGTTCAAAGTCATTTCCTAATTGCTACTTTCTTATACATACTGTTACAGTACATACAGTCTCATACTAAAAAAGATATACTTCTGTTAGGTGAATTGTGAATGTCTGACAATATCTTGTTATATAATATCTGCTATGAGTACTTGTATAAGCAGTATCAGAATGCATTTCCAATCTCAGCAGCATATTTTAACGCATATTGTGCAATGCTTGTTTTTTTATATGCCATATACATCCGTGGTGAGATGAAGAAGAACTGCAAGAACGTCCACTTGATTAATCATTTTCCAGGCAGGGAATAACAGCAGGAATGGGGTATAAATTTATGTCAAGGGTATTTTGAAGTGCATTGCCGTAACTAATATTGCTGTTAATTCCACTCGGGGCATATCTGAAATACGGAAGATTGTCCGGAGGTCCAACAACTAATGTACTGGTAACTTGTGCTTTTGGATTTGTTTGAAATGAATCTAAATGGAAATTGTTTCTAGCTGACAAGTCATTAAAGACTTCCTGGTGAAATTCGCCATGCTGAAATGAGTTAAGAAGGGCAAGATTTTCCAGACAGCAGGACTGATGCCAAAAAACGAAACGTTGAAGCCAGTTTGGGCTTCGGGGTGTTCAGATCATAAAATCTTAATGGCCAACGGCAGTGAAAACCAAACATTTTGTAAACTCCTGCTGTGGCGTCGCCGCTGATATGTTCGGTACGCGTGTGATTTCCTGCATGTCAGACCCATTAACTGCCACTGGGTTTCGTCTGCAGGAATAATTTACAAAGTTTCTGACGATAACCCCCCTCCCCCATTTCCAAAGCGTCTCCTCTATTTCGCAACATTGTAACGATGACTCGACAGATACTTCTCCTCTGCCTCAGTCTGAGGAAGACTCCGAAACATTGTCGCCACACGCCGTGACGTGGCGACGCACGACGCCTGGCCGGGCCAGCGGAGTGAACCGGATCAGGAAGAAAAAGGCTTTCATGCAAACACACACAAAACTACTACAACAACACTACACTAGGAGGGAGGTTAGAGATGGTGTACGTGTCTAATGGTAAGTAGATACGCTCATTTTAAGCGCAACTCAATAATAATAATAATAGAGGCTTAACCGAGCCTTAAAGAAAAAGACACAACTTGAATATACCACAAGACGGTGCAATATGTCAAGGCATCCGACTTTGCCAAACACAAATATAAACGCAGTTTACAAAGGCTCCGGTGTGAATCCCTATGGCGATCGGAGCAGTTGTGCTGACAGTGTTTTTGTGTTACTGTTCGTAGACGTATCTGCCTACATAAACGTAACATAACACTAGCCGTGCTATAGTCTTCCGTTAACGATTTGCAGATTGCTGTGGAGCCCCAGGGACAGAATATGTCTGCTTTTTCCTACGTCTGCTTTTTCTTCCCAAAACAAGACGTTTTAAACGGCTTTAACTCTTTAAACGCGTTTGTACAGATCCTCATATTAAAATGATTAGGATTAAAGTTAGGGATTTTCTAATCCTCTTGCTTCTCCAATGTGAACTAGTGTAGCAGTCTCTTCTGTGCGATAAGGCGTTTGCTTCGCGCTGGGCACTGTTGCTCTAAGTGTATTTCTTCACGACAATGAAATAATAACGGAATACAGGTACAGTATTACTGTAAACCTGTACCAAGTGCAGACCGTGTACAATGTTGCTTTCAAAATGCGTTACTATATAAAGTGAACCATATCCAAAGTAAACCCCGATTACCCGAAAATCAGTAAGGAAAATGACTTGAATTTCTATGTATAACGTTTTTTTTATGAGGAGGATATTTCGCATCAACTGCCACTGGTCGCTCATCACATCCTACTGTATATAGAGCTTTTTCACTTGTCTGTGACTCTACACCTGTTTCTGCTGTCCACTGAGGTATTTGCGGAAAAGCACTATATAAGTGTAAGTTATTATTATTTCTCCTAATTGCAGGTCAGGTGTTGGACAGCAGGAGTCAGTCTCCATGGAGGTTGTCTTTCATAAGTGACCTCTTCTGGGGTGCCGTGGAATTCATTGGATTATTGTAAGATCTGTAATAGTTCATTCTTTTGAAGTGGCTATATTATTTTGCGTACTCTGGCCTGAGTGTTTTAATTTTGAAGTGTCTTGAGGTGATGTATCAAAAATCATGCCATCTAAAAAAAAAACAACCACAAATATCTTGTTGGATTTTTAACTTTTCGTTTTTTAATCTATACCTGTCTGACATTGGATTTTATGATTTTATTAAACTCCCCCTCCCCAATCAGATATGAAGGTATTAATCTGGGTTTTACCCTTTTGACAGCTTTCAAACGATATTCCAGCCAGATTTATCCAAGAAAGGCAACTCTGGGTCTTCCTCTTACTCGAGATTTGATGATGGCAGGGGGTACGTATACATATTTTCTCAGTATAAATATCCGTTCCGAATATTTAAACTGCAAATGGAGCAGCATGTATGGGCTCACCCTTGACTACATTGTTAATATGAAACCTCTAGTCAGCTTTGCTACTGACCAGAATCGGATCCACCCAAACGTTGATTTCTGCGACACTGTCGCGGGTTTTCTGCATCGAGACACGCAAGTGTTTCAACAACCTCGTTTTCAGCCCCAAAATAAAATGATATCCCTCACGGCTCGCCGCCATTTGTGGATGCCACCTTTTTGGTGCGAGAGAGCAGTTGTCGTTCTTCTGAAGTTCATTTCTGATGTTCATGTCCGTTTCTGTTTCTTAGAAGAAGTGTGATCTGAGTAAGATTTAACTGTGCGGCCAGCTGTATTGTAATATGATTGCATGTAGTGCTGTGTCTGCAAATGGGTCCTGTTTATGCTTTCTACAGTCCGCCTGGATTCCCTGGAGGACGGCGGCGAATGGGCAGAGTAAATCACATGGGCGGGGGTCCTAGTGCCCCCCCCACGGGGGGAGGAGGATGAGGAAGGTGAGAGCTTCTTCTTGTGCCCTCTGGAACTCTCGTTAAAAACGCCATCTGCTCGTCCTGTCACACTTCGGTGTGGTGCAGGAGAGCATGCCGGGACTGGTGCTTCAACAGAGGAAGGATGGGCACTGATGTTCAGAGGGCAACCTGCAGTCTAAACTGTAGGCTGGATGCTGTTTTCGTGCACTCAGACGTAGATAAATCTGTTGAAAAGTACAGCAGAAACAAATCTGTTGTCTGGGATAAATAGTAAACAAATGTTTTATCTTATCTTTTCGTAAGATCATAAAATTAATATTTTAGCCTAACTCGTATCTAGCTTCCATGACAATAATATTACAGTGTCGGATCATCTGAATGCGAGTAGAAACTGCACAGAGTAGCTGAACCCCATGAATAAAAAAAAAAAAAAAATCAGTCCCCTAGAATTGCAAATTCCTCCCTCTCAAATGCTCAAACCATGTGAACTGACGCTCTGCAACAAATATCAAGCTGTGTATAGAGCCAGATTTACACATCGTAACCCATTTCTGCGGGAAATGAACCAGCTTTTGTTGCACGAGGCAAAACGCACAGCCTTCCTAGCCCCCCTTGGAAGCCCACTCACACTCACTCTAATTATGGCACAAGGAATGAGAAGGAAACGCAAAGGGTTGATGTTAGTTCTTTTGCCCTTCCAGGTAAACGCCTGCATAAGCACATGCAGGCGGAGGACACACGTGTCTCGCGCAGCTGAGCCGAAGGCTTCCGCGTAGGGGAGAACGTCGAGCCCATCGCTGGGACAAACACGTGTGACCTGCTTCCCAGCTGCCTCTGCCGCCCGGCAGATTCTTGAGGTTGCACTGGGAATTCCTGAGCAAAGGGGCCAGTGCATCTGATGAGCAGCTTCTGATACTGTTGTACAATTCTTTCCTCGTTTTGTCACCGGACCTCTCTGTAAGCCCACCTTTTTATATACAGCTGTGGGAAGACCGTCTTCCAGACGTAAAAACCATTTGATTTTTAACAACCTGACATCTTTATAATAGTTAAGGCCTTCAACATAAAAGTTACATTTGCTGAATTGTAAACTAAATTTAATAAAAGTATACAGGATATAAACTCACTTTGTTGCATTTCTTTTGGATAATCAGTGTGGGGGAATGATTTTGAGAAGATACTGGCTCTAGTTCAACACTTGGCCAAGAAGAGAGCTGCTTGACTGAAATCAAATGATTTTAAAAATTGCTTTATTTTTTTTTAAAGAAATCTCAAGACAATCAAATGGTAATATAAGTTGTAACACAAACATTTAATACTCTTTAAGAACTAAATCTTTTGCTGTCTGTGAATACAGATACATTGGATTTAATGCTTTGAAAAGAAGGAAGCCACCTACTATCCAAACAGTAGCAAAGCAAACCTTTCTCAGACATGGTGTTCGAAGTTGATGGAGAAATCACTTGTATGTTGTGTTTAAATAGAGCTCATCAGTCCTCTGGAGTACAGTCCAATTGCAGGGGCAACACTTGTGTCTGACCTGACAGTCTGTGATATTCAGTTGTTTAAGGGATTAAGTTGTAAACAATGCCTTGAACCAATACAACCCAAGACATTTATCAGAGTGACTCTATGCATTTAAACAAATAATTATATTGTGCCTTTCACTTTATTGGGTTACTGTTGTTATGATGATGTCTAAAAATTATTGTACTTGTATAAAAAGAAGAAACTTTAACTGCATGTAATTTATTTTTGATAAACGTATTGTACTAAATTCAGCACTAATTCTCCAGTTTATTTTTTGATGTAAAAAAATACAAGAAAGATTATGATTGAATGCAGTACACAAGACTTTGTTCAGGTTTAGATTTGTTCTGCTGCTGCGATTTGACAGCAAGAGGCAAAGATGTGGAAAGATGTGGGCAGATTTTAATCTTTTAAGAAAAACATTTTTTGTTTTCGACAGTTTTGAGAGTTTTTACACTGTATATGCTAACTTTTCAAATAATTTTCATTTTGCTGCCCCACTTCACGGAACAATTTCGTGTTTCTGCAGCAAAGTTTCAATTATTTATATACATATACAGCTGTGGAAAACTAAATTTGCATAAAAACGTCCGTTGTTTTAAAATTAACAAGTGAAAATAGTTTCAGTGTGTTGTGCGGTCACTACTAAAGCTCCAAAGCAGCTGCCCAAGATTTTACATGCCGAACTGTAAACATAATTTACAGCTACCTTCGTTTTTACAGGCCACAGTTTACGATTAAACCTCAGTGCTTTATTCTTCAATCCAGACATAAAACGAGTGAATGCAGTTTACACACACACACAAAAAAAATCAATTAAAAAAGGTCTCGGTATCAAGGGCGCGTTTTAATACGTTTATATTTAACATGCTTAACAGACGCCATTTCAGAAATATCGAACGATCCGTTATTGACTTTGAAAACGGTTCGTCTCATTTCAACGAATATGTGAATTTATTTTTATGCCACGAAGGACTAGCATCCCGTCCGGGGTTTTATTCCCTTTGTGCGTCCTGCGTCCTGCGCCTGCTGCCGAGTGATCAACCGAAGTCGTGGGTAGGTTGGGCTTTCTCGTTTCCGCAGTGCAGCGGAACTCCGAGAAAGCACTTCGCTCGGCCAGGAATTCGAAGCGACCAAAATAAAACCCCGTGTTACTCTTAAAGTAGGCCCAGGTGTTTCCGGTGAAAGAGGGGGGCGGAGGGCAGTCCTGGTTAATGTAACACAACCGCATTTAGAAATGCGAGCTGTCTTGTAGAAGATAATTGCGTTTTTACTCCGATTTCGAATTCCTTTCCCTTTTGCTATGATAGCGATGACTTTACCAAACACATTTGCGATTTATATATATTTTTAAATATATTATATAGTATCTGTAGTTTAACGTGCTGTTTAAAATTGTGCACACCTGTCTCTTTTAATTGCTTAACCGTACGGTGCCTTAAAATACGCCGTGAAAAGTGCTGTGTAAGAATAAAGGTTTTTGTTATCTGTTCGGATGGGAATACAGTGTATCTGTTTATTTATCCATTTATTTGTGTATCGCATACTGTTGTGACTTCTGTGCTTTGTACTTCTGTGGGAGAAGCCAAAGACAAATTTCCAGAGTAGCGGACAGTCAAGTGTCTATCTATCTTCAGGCTCACACCTGAAGAAGGCTCCACGGCCGAAACGTTGTGTTCTCTTTCTTCTTTTTTTTCAGCATGGAATAAACCTATTACTTGTTCCTTTGCAGCCTACGCATGCTGACGCAGCTCCCCACCTGAACTACAAGTGTCTATCTGTATGGGTTGGAGAATCGTGAAACCGAAATATTCCGGAGATTGCCGAAGACAGGAGGTGGGGGGCGTGTTAATGTGTGTGTGTCGCTTAAACCAAGCAGGCGGCATGCTCCTTTCAGTCTTTCGGAGGAAGCCGGCCTGGCAGCTCGGTCTGGTGTCATTTCACAGCTTCAGCGACGGAGACCTGGGGTTCGGGCGGGATGACGCAGGCCGAGAAAGAGCAAGAGAACGGAAAGGAGAAAGAGAAAGATCGCGAAAAGGAGAAGGAGCAGCGCGGTGTCAAGAGGCCGATTGCTCCACCCGTCATCCCGGAGCCTCTGCAGGAGGTAAACGCATCTACACCAGACCGCACTCCAGAGCAAGTTACCCGATCTAAGCAAAACAAAAACAACAAACCGGCTGTTTTAATTTAGGAAAACATTTGCGAACCACATTGTCTGTGTCAATCAAATGAATTGACCTGAAATCTCACAGCGGGCAACACCTTCCCTGCAATTTCCTGGTTGCACCGCACCGTTCACACGCGTTTAATGGGATTTTTGAGGTCCGGCGATACAGAATGCACAGGCGGGGCAGGGAAGTCTGTGCCTTTTAGGGAAAGGAACTGTAACACACAAAAAAACAACAACAACAACAACAACACCGTATGAATGACAGTTATCATCTTTCCCAAGCAAATCCAGAGCAACTTCATTGTGGTGATAAACCCAGGATCGAAAACCCTGAGGATCGGCCGAGCTACAGACACCCTACCCGTGAGCATTCCCCATGTTATCGCCCGAAGGCACAAGCACGCAGGTCAGCCCCGCCATGAGGATCCTTGGCTCCTGAGAGAGGGCCTGTCTGTGAGTACTGTACCGCCAGTAGCCTATTCACACCAGCAGAGGGCGCCGTTTCTCCCTTTTTAAATGGAAGCCGATGCCTTCTATTCACAAGCGAACCTACAACATCAGTTTTAAACTCTGTGAAGGTGCACCTGTTTCCACACAGTAAATATCACTGCTGCTCTTTACATAGTTGCATTAAAACACATCTTGTCACTACGCGGTGTTTAGGTTACATTCACCTTACAGGTAGGCATGAGGCTGATTGGAAGAGGCCACTGTTGCCTAACCACAGAGTGGATCTGTTTATTTCTACCGCTTTCAGAGACCAGAAAGCAACGAACAAAGGCAGAATGGTCTTAAGATGGTTGATCAAGCTATATGGTCCAAGAAGATGTCAAACGGGGCGAGGAGAATCCCAGTTTCGGCTGATCAAGTGAGTTGAAAGTTTTGTGCATGCGTCTGTCCGGGAGGCCGTGCTCGTGGGCTGAAAAAAGCGAACTTTCAATTGCAGCTCGTGCAACACGTCTGGGAGAATGATATTGTTCTTTCCGCAGGCGAGGGCTTTCAATAAACAGATGAGGCCGGCTGTGCTGGATCCAAACTCCAGAGTGAAGTGGACAAATACATCCCATCACCCCGAGTTTCTTGTGGGAGATGAGGTGAGAGATTCTTAATCATTTGTCCCGAGCAATGAACAGAGGTTACAATTACAATTCAGTTGATTTTTCTATAGCGCCTTTCACGTGAAATGGTCACTTAGCTCTTTCACAATCTTTAACACAGTCTATACAAACACGGTTGTGTAATACAGTGAATCAAGAGGTAAGTTGTTTAATGTTGAAGAAGAAAGGAACCTGTAGAAATGTACATTGTACATGTTCATTCTTGTGTGTTTTCTATACAGTATATATCTCTTATATTATCTTTAAAGAATTTACACATATGTGTATGTAGACAGTTTGGTTAAAAAGCCTAGCAACCATATAAGGAGAAGTAGTTCAGGTAGCTGCTGATGCTGACGCAGCTCCCTACTTGAACTACTTTTTATCCTGAAGCCGTTCCTGTGTCTGTCTCCCCTGTCCATGTGAAGTGAGCTGCGGGAGCAGTTTTAAAACGTACCCAGCTGAGAGCCGGGTGCAAGACTCTGCAGCCTCAGAAGTGTGTGACGACATGAGAAGAAACTGTGTAAAGCTACATCTGGCAGAGGAGCCAAGTTAACTATCCAATAAGTTGCCGTTTCATTTCCTAAACGCATTTCCTTTTTTTTCCCCCCTTTTGGCAGGCTCTGTACGTAAACCCCATGGACTGTTATAACATCCACTGGCCAGTCTGCAGAGGGCAGCTGAACGTTCACAGCGGGCCCAGTGGATCGCTCACTGCTGTTTTAGCAGACCTGGAGACCATCTGGTCTCATGCCATCCAGAAGTTTCTGGAAATTCCACTCAAGGACCTGAAGGTACCTCAGAGGACGACGGCTCTAGTGTTTGGCTCTGCCTCACTCCCGTGTTGGGGTGTGGGCTGTGTTTTGGATATAGAAATCCTGTCCAGCCCACACTCTAAATGGAAAAACCTCACTTCGGAAAGTTTTTTTTTTTGAGGGCTTTCTGCTACACAATACTAGCTGAGTCACTTTTTCGCACCAGAGTGGAACAGACTCTGACATCTGAGACGTACAGAAGGAGCGTAAAGGAAATGGCAGTGTCACACAGGAAGTCTTTCTCCCTAGTCTGTGGTCTGCATGTGAAGTTTCAGTTCTTGTGGGTGTTGATTGGGTCTGGGTTAAACCACTGACATTGACTCCTGGTCCTGGTGGGCCACTGTGTTTCCTGGTTTTCATTCCACCCTGGCCCCAGATGACTTTTTTTAATCATTTTATTCATCAGTTGTTCACTTCATTGGTCTATAATACCAGTATTGGTCTTTAGTCATTGAGGGTTTTAGTTTACTTGTAATTTCAGGTGGATTTTGGCCGTCTAGGATCAGGATGTCACTGGGCTACGTGGTGTTTATTTAAAATGCAAGGCCATGTTCTTATGTTTTATTTCTTATTGAATTTACTTGTTGGCGTTATTTTGTTGATAATATTTAGAACATAGAGTGTGTCTGTTTGTTCTTTGTGAATACTGACTATCCCTCTCACGGACCAGTGTTTGTTGACTTTCAGTATTACAGGTGCATCTTGTTAATTCCAGACATCTACAATCGACAGCACGTGAAGGAGCTGGTTAACATGCTTCTAATGAAAATGGGCTTCTCAGGTAAAATGAGATAAACCTGAGGTTTATTGCTACTTAAAAAATATGAGCAGAAATCACGTGAAAATTGAATTTTGTATCACGTACAAATCCTTCGCAGGGAGGCAGTGCTTAATCTGGGCAATCCGAAATATGACCATCGGGTTGCACAGTAAATGGCAATGGGGCAAGAGGCTCAACTTTGCTTGTGGATTTTTGTGCAGATGATAAAATTAAACACACTACAAATGTGTAGGTGTGCACCTAATAAATGATCTGGTAGTGCGGTTTAATCATGCATCTTTGCTCTTTACTGAAGGGTTTAATAACAGAAACTTGTCGTGAAAGATTTAGGTTGTAAAAAATGATTTAATGAAGATGCTCTCCCGCCTCGTGCCAGTTGAAGCAGACATGTTGCAGGAGATGGAGACGAATCGCAGGTGTGTGTTCCCTTTTGTTTTTAACTCGCAGCTACTGTAGTCCATCAAGAGTCTGTGTGCGCCACCTTCGGCAGTGGCTTGAGCAGTGCCTGTGTGGTGGATGTGGGAGACCAGAAGACCAGCGTGTGCTGTGTGGAAGATGGCATTTCCCATCGCAGTTCCAGGTATGTTGGAGAGTGGTCGACATCCATCAGTCCCGTAGTAAGACCCGTGGGCAAGTCAGGAGTTAAAAGAGTCCAGTCACCTTTGTCGTGGACAAAAGTCTAATGATCCTTTGCTCTGTTTGTCTATTGTCTGTACATACTGTCACTATTATGTACTGTTTTGTAATGGACTGTCTACATTGTGTGGCATTAACTGTTGCGCTGTTTCTACTGTACTGTGCATGTCCAGAGAGAACGGCGTGGATAAGAATCTCATTGTACGTGTACTCATGGCACAGAAACTCCTCTCTCTGTTTCTGTCTAAATGTGGGTTAGGACACCAGAGCACGGGGGGAGAGCCTCATAAGCTCTGCACCGGCCGCAGATCCAAAGGCAAACCCATGCTTTGTGGGTGTGCTCACCACCCACTGCCCGAGCTGCTCTACCAGCACTGAGGGTTGGGGGAGCACAAAGATTGATTATAGCTTCATCTTCTGGAAAACCCTAGACTGAAGTGTTCTGCTCTGGCAGTTCTTCTCGGGGTGTAGGACACGGCGCAGACACTGTCTGTTACTGATTGCTGCTGTTTTTGCTGGGTAGCAAGATTACAGTGATAACAAAGGTCACATTCCGTGCTTGCACTCTGTCCCATGTAACAGTAAAAAAACAAAACAAATGCCTTGACGTGTGCCTGTGGTTTTTATTTAGTAAGTATTGTTCAAAGGTCACATTTAATCTTTTTTTTTTTATTCAGCCTTTCAGAATAATAGACCTATTCTTGGCTTGTATAGAAGCAAAAAAGTATTTAAAGACTTTCTGTGGTCATTGTATAACTTCAGTTAGAAGTTTGGTTAAATATGTTTTGAAGATGATGGAGCCACAGCTGTGCGTTGTAAAACATCCTTTAACCCCTGTTAAAGTTAAGTAATAAATATATATGGTCTGCATTGTAGATTGTGCTTGGCATATGGAGGCTCCGATGTGACAAGATGCTTTTTCTGGCTGCTGCAGAGGGCTGGTTTTCCCTACAGAGAGTGCCAGCTGTCCAATAGGCTGGACTGCCTGCTCCTTCAGCAACTGAAAGAGACCTTCTGTCATCTTGACCAGGTACAGAGCAAACCAGGTGCATTCTGGGATTTCCAGGAGCATAAAACTGCATAGTGCCTTTCTGTTCTACTTGTGTCAGAAACTCAAGGCAAATGCTGGTGGACTTTGTGTATGTTTTTGAAATGCACCCACAGACCAGATGAGCTCTAAAGAAAATTTATTTTGCATCAGGATATTTCGGGACTTCAGGACCACGAGTTTCGCATCAGAAACCCTGATTCTCCTGCTCTGCTTTACCAGTTCCGTTTAGGAGATGAGAAGCTGCAGGTACAAACCTCCCTATTCCCTTTCTCTTGATTCTTTGCAAAGCTTGAGACTTGAGAGTTAGTGTAGGTTGTACTGTTTGTTTTAGGCTTTCATGTGGCTGAATGTCTAAATCTTCCATTTGCCGGTACAGTGATAATGATCCCTTAGGGTGGAACCTGAATACAAGACAGATGATGAGGAAAAAAAGCTCAGTCCTTGCTAATTTTACCTGCATGGTTTGTTATCTGTAGTTTGCTGTTGTAGTCTCTTCTGTTCTTGAATAAGCCTTGTTCAGATACGAAAATGTCTGTTTCTTATCTGAGATGCCATTTGCAGTCTGTTGGAAACTTCTGTCTTTAATTGTGCGTTCAAATAAGGAGAGCTCAGAGTTTAGTTTTACCTTTTTGGGAGTGAGGGGGATTCTCATTTGTGGAACAAGAAAGCCTGTTCTTGCAGAAGACTGACAGATTTCTTGTTCTGATCTGAATTTGGAGTTCAGGCTCCGATGGCAATTTTCTATCCAGCTACGTTTGGAATTGTGGGGCAGAAGATGACGTCTCTCCAGCAGCGCTCGCAGGGGAACCCAGAGGACCCCTACGATGAGCACTACCTGCTGGGAACGCAGAGCAAGCAGGACCAGGTGCGCCTGTTCCCTTGTCCCTCCTTGACAGGGGTGGCATCTGCACAGTACTGGCAATCATGAGCTAATTTTAATCCCAGAACCCGTTTTACAGTTCCAGGTTGGGGTGTCTCAGGACTGCAAGCAGATATTAAGACTGCACAAATAAACCCAGTTATAATGTAATAATAAATCTGCTATAGCTGCTTGCATTTGTCATTCTTCCTTGTTGTTTGTTGGGTTTATGAGACACGGGAGTTTAAGATGTGACCTGTAGGCAGAATGTGAGATGAGTACATCCTCTAAGAAAGACATTTCATTAACATCCTTCAGGTACATGGATAATCACCTCTATGTGCCTTTTTTCTGTGTTCGTGCAAGCAGTCTGCAAAAGCTACAGCAGAGAGGAAGGCCCCCCCTAAGCCCTCTGGTTTCGACGGCGAACCAGGCAGCCAGAACCCTGAGGCGGCGGACCGGAGCCACCCTCAGGACATAGACCTGGGCCACTCCCAGAGCGACTGCCTGATGACGGGCGCGGACGTGGACGAGCCACCCACAGCTCTCATGTCCAGGAAGACTGCCATAAGCCAGTTCGAAGGCAAAGCGCTGGGCCTAGACAAAGCCATTCTGCACAGCATCGACTGCTGCGGTAAGTACGTTTTTAATACTGTGAGCAGCGGTAGAAGGGGGGTGAAGAATATAGGAACAGGCTCAAATGGGAGAAGGCCGTTCAGCCCACCTGGCCGTGTGGTAGTTAGTAGATAATTGACCTGAAAAATCTCATCCAGCCGTTTCTTGAAAGGAGCCTGGGTATCGGCTTCAGCAGCATGGTTGGGCAGCTTGTTCCACTGTCCCACAACACACTGTCTCTCGTTCCTGGTTTTAAATGCACTATCATCTAGCTTCCATTTGTGCTCTCTAGTTCTGGGTTCTTAAAAATGTCCTTCCTGCAAGATAGCTATATTTTGCATCAGGCTGCCGTCAAATGAGAGTGCTTTAAATTGATCCCTGCTGGGGTTTTCAACCAGAATTCCAGCTTGCCGAAGGGAAGCATCTGGCACGCTTGCCTTAACTGAGTATGGAAACGGTGTGGAATGTAAGAACATAAGAAACAATCGTTATGAACTAGAGTCAATCACTCTGCCCATCCAGCCTCTTTTGTGGTTGGTAGCTAACTGATTTGAGCACGGCTACTGTCCATTTCCGTTTGCAATTGTCCAGCTGTTTTGCACAACTCCGTGGCAGTGCGGTCTTTAACATCCTCCCGCTTTGACCCATTTGAAGCTTCGGACGAGACGAAGAAAAAAATGTACAGCTCCATCCTCGTAGTTGGCGGGGGCCTGATGTTCCACAGGGCCCAGGAGTTTCTTCAGCACCGCATTCTGAACAAGATGCCGCCGTCCTTCCGGAGGGTCGTGGAAAACGTCGAGGTCATCACGAGGCCTAAGGTAAGGCAGCTCCGCGTGTGGCGCTGGAGAAAGTGGCGCCTTGCAGCCGGGGGAAATGTGTTCCGAGTGACTTTTGCAGTCGCTTTCGTAGGGTTTATTTTGAAGGGCGTTTAAAACGTCGTGGATTGGTAAAGACGGTCTGTTCGGTACATTGTAAAATTAGTTAAGGCAGTGTAAGTTCCAGTGCTTTCACTTTGGGGGGGGGGGGAACCTAGTTTACATGACTAATGAATAATGTAATGTGTTGGTTCATGAATCTGACTACAGCGGAGGGGGGAAACACGTACCATATATTAGAAAATTCCTGCAGCCATGGGACTTTCCCATTCGCATCTTGCAAAGAGGGTTGACGGACATTTAGGTTGTAATTGTCCTGGCCTTGCCTCAAGGACATGGATCCCCGGTTGATCGCCTGGAAAGGCGGTGCGGTTCTGGCGTGCCTGGACACCACCCAGGAGCTGTGGGTCTACCAGCAGGAGTGGCAGCGTTTTGGCATGAGGATCCTGAGAGAGAGAGCGGCATTTGTCTGGTGAGCGCACCGCCTTAAGAACGCTTGGCGGACTTCACACCGACGAAACGAGAAAACTTTTCTTCGGAGGTGGGACCTATGGGAATCGTTTCAGTTATCTGCCGCCTGTGAGCCGAATTTACACTGTGTGTTTGGCCAACGCGTTAAGTGAACCAACTGGAAACTGCGAAGGACTCGCTTTTTTTGATGAAAAAGCTTTCTGGACTTTCTGTTCTTTCTTCCACAAAAAAATGTGTATAATAATATCAGTCTGTTTTTCCCTGCATTTGGCTTTTACACATTATGGCTGACCCGACAGAAAGTGAACTTCTTGTTTGTCCGCTGCTTTTAAAAAAGAAAATGTGGGAGAAAGAGGAAGTGTAGGCAGACCTCTCTAACCCGGCCGCCTTTGAACCACTCGTCTTTTAACGTGTCCCAGGCAGCTCAGCTCTGTACTGGAGGGTGAGCGCTGATCAGAGGACGGGCATGTAGACAACACCGTGAGTCTGGAGCATCCTGGGGGGGCCGGGGGGGCCGCCGACAGTCTTGGTCAACTAATTCTACACCACCCTCGATGGCGCTCAGCCAATAGTGCGCCACTACTGGGCTTGCATCCCAGTCACAGTGGGCTAGTGACATACAGCACACAGGTGTGTGCCTTGAACGGTTGTGCCATTCAGGCCCCATATATTCACAATATTTGCAATATCTTTATCTTTATCTTTATTTCTGTCAAAGATGGAAGCCAAGTGTGACGTGTGGGACTCAAAATCTCCTCCTTGTGTCTGTTGGAGCATGTTGTAAATGCAGTGCCAATGAGTTTAGAAGTCATATATTATATTCGTATATTAATTCATATGCGATTAAACCATTGTCTTGACACAAGCAAGCTCTCTCATGGTTAAATTCTAGCTTCCCTTTTACGTAGTGGAAAGAGACAGTTAACTTGAATTGAGTAAACGGTTAAAAGTGTTTTCTCTACCTGTGTCTTACTTGACCTCACAGGATTCAGTAATACTGATTTGTCTGATCAGATAAAGTAGTTTTCAGTCATTATTTTTTCCAGATTGTAAGGATGTGGTATATCGATGTACAGAAAAGATTTAACGCAAGATCAGAAATATAGGTCATATCTAATTAGAGACAGGAAAGGTGATTACAATCTGTTTTGACATTTTGGCCCAATAAGAAGGACCTCTTGAGCTGTCATAATTCACCAGTAACAGTTTTTTTTCCATGATGGTTGCTATGCGAGAGATTTTATAATTGGCAAAATGTAATTAGTAATACATTGAAAACAAATTGTGGCTCATGAACACAGTTATGCAGCTGTTCAATTTTAAAATAAAAGCAAAACCTGAAAAAAATAATTTCTCTAAAATTGAGCAAATAAAGGATTTATGAGTAAAATTTATGAGTTTATGAGTGGTCTAGTGGTTAGAATATAAATGATCAAATAGAACAAAATGAGTCCTTTTACGTTAGGGGTAGGTCTTATCTTTGATAAAGAAATGAATATGGAAAATACATTTTCTCTTGCATCCCTTTGATATTAAATATTGAACGGGACTTTTTAAAGCATGGAAAACCATGTCAGTCATCGTCCTCTGTGGTACCGAAAGGATATGTGGAGAACGGCAACAATCATAGTACAGTAAATGAAGATGTGCCAGTTTTTTTAAATCTTTCCAAGGAGCAACATTACTTCAGTTCTATTCTGAAATGAAAATCCGCAAAAGTGTGTGTAAACAATAAACTATAAAAAAACAGTTATACAATTTAGATTTTGCAAAAGACACCCGTGTTGGCCTGGAGACTCAAGTTCACGTCTGTACGTGCACATAAATGTTGAAAAATCTAATTAAAAGTGATTTTACTTGAACTCTTGTCGGGAAAGACCCACTTGCGGGCCTATAAATCTAGTCTATTGAAGAATTCTGGCACAAGTTCCTTAACCGATTGGTGATTTGTAAGCTCGGTACAACAGATTTTGCACTTGATGTATCAAACCTAGAGTATCCCTGTTTCTGCTGGGGTGTTAATAAATCCAACTGAACTACTGTTCTCTGCTCTTGCAAAATCACAAGTAATCAAAATTACCACTAGCCCTGTACCAGTTTTTCACGTTAGTAGCTTTCAGTTTTATTCCAGCTGGATCTGGGCAGCATTCCATTGAGCTGTTCACCTTTTGACACTGCAAGCGGAGCTGGTGGAGACTGAATGACTGGCACATCCTTCCTCGGCAAGGAAGCTTAAATTATGCTTGACTCATCAGTTTCTCACCTCTTTATACTATTTAATTTTGATGAGTAAAATGGGTGATTGTTTTTTTTTTTAGTAGTTCAGTGATCATTTGAAATGAGAATACCACCACCCTGTAGCTCTCAAGGAACCCTGTTGTGCATCAATTAAGTTACAAAATCGATGCTCACAACTCACAAGTTCAAAATCTTTGTAAATTGCTATTAATAATATGAGTTCCTTACACTTCTATAATGTTTTTCTGGACACTCTACTCAAACTGCTTTATAGGTAATGGGGACTCCCCTCCACCACCACCAGTGTGCAGCCATAGTGCATAGCCAGTACTCTCACCACACACCAGCTCTCAGTGGGGAGGAGAACAGTGATGAAGCCAGTTCAGGGAGGGGGACTATTAGGAGGCCGTGACTGGTAAAGGCCACCAGGGAAATTTGGCTAGGATGCAGGGGTAACACCCCTACTCTTTTCGAGAAAACACCCTGGGAATTTTAATGACAATCCGAAGGATGGCACCTTTTTACAGTATAGTGTCCCCTTTCCAATACTGGGGCATACGAACTCACACAGACCGCAGGGTGAGCGCCCCCTGCTGGCCCCTCTAACACCTCTTCCAGCAGCAGCCTTGGTTTTTCCCCATCCAGGAGGTTACCCATCCAGGTACTGACCAGGCTCACACCTGCTGAGCTTGAGTGGGCTGCCAGCTGTGCGTTGCAGGGTGATATGGCTGCTGGCCGTTAGAAGTAATTAAAAGGCCTGCTGATTTGTGGTTGACCGAAGATAGGCTTTGCTTTCTTGCACTGAAGTGGGTTACAAAAGGGGCAAATACTTATGTTTACCAGCAGCCACAGTTGCCAACACACACAGTGAAAAATGATTTAGTTACATTTTTAGGAATATTTGTCAACATTTATTTAAAAAATATATAAACATTTGTTTAATCTTTTTTACGTATTAAAAAAAACAGACATAAAATCAGCATATAATAATCTTAATGCATTGCTTGAATGAATGAGCCAGTTATACCTTTAACTTTTAAGTTGCAAGGAATCATCTTCACAAATCATTGAAATTCCTCATTGCTGCACATAATTTGATTAATAAAATATATCAATGAACCAATGTTAAGAAAATCCAGAAAAACGTTTGTAGATGGTAAACTATAAAACTCTTAATCTAGTTTCTGCAAAGATCAAAATTATGTCAGCCTGCAACCTCAAGATCACATCTGTAGATGCACATAAGGTGGCTGTTTAAATACTTTCAATCATGCACACATTAAATCCTGTCTGTGCACAGTGCTATAGTGTACTTTACAGCTGTTGGCTGTAAAAGGGATTGTAAAAGAAATTTAATTCACTACTATTAGTTTAATGACTAATAACTTTAAACTCTGAAACGGCGGCAGTTCATAGATGTATATTGCAAATCAGATCTTTTGCAACTCATCGATCTAAATATTTGAGAGCAAGCAAGCAAGCAATCTGCTTTCAATTCCTTCAGGTCTCAATGTCAATGGATTCTGTTGTTGAACATAAATATAATGATCCTAAGCACATACATACTGTATCATGAACTTTGTATCGAGCATTATTGCACAATGACAGTTTATTCCGGGGTTATAAACTGACAGTCATCAAGGCACATCACCATCTGTTAAAGCTGCCAGATATTTCCAGGTTTCATAAGGTACATTTATTGATCACATTTTGATTTGTCTAGCACATTTCTTTATGTATTTAATACCACCTAAAGACATTAGAGCTATAAGTCAAATTAAAAGCAATTAAAGTACACTTTTTTAAATTGAACAGCTAGTTACCAAGTTAGCTTGGAAATATTCACTGATGTAGAGAAAATATCTTTTAAAATCTTCGTAATGCGTAGAAAGAGCACCACCCTAACTGAAAGTACACAAGTGGTTTCCAATTCTGTCGTTATAAGAGTCAGATATTTCTGAGTCTTTGCTGCTTTTTGTGGACCGGCTTAACAGATTTGTTGCATTTTTTTCAAAAGTCAGTTGTAATTTTAATCAACGGGATTCTTTGAGATTTAAAATTTATTTGAGAAGCCTCCCATTTTTGAAACTCGTATATTGCGTCTTTCAATTTAGTGGTCATTTCTTTGGTGTAAGGAGACCTGCCAGGGCCCATCTGACAGCAGGTTCTTTTTGGAGATGTACCATGAAGGTTTGCACAAAAAGATTCTAGGTCTTTCATGAGACGATACAATTGGCAGGGCTTTAAAACAGCAGGGAGGTGCTTCTTGCTGAAATCGTTATCAAAACATACAATCAAGTACTGTCTGAGGTCTGTGTGCTTCATCCCACTGATCAGCATATTGAGAGTGAGGGTGAAAAGGTCATCTACAGAAGCCGGAACAGCATGGTTACTCAGATCTGGGTTCGAGCTGGGCCAGTGGCTGCTCACTGTGTTTGTACATATGACTACGATCTTGTCGACAGTCTCCTTTTGCTTTGCCAGCCAAGGCACCAGACCCAGTTCAGCAATCTTCTGCCCCTGCCAGGCATCGATGCTGACTCTGCATTTGCAATGCAATTGAAGGAATTCAGCAAAACTCACTACAGCTTTCTGAAAAATGTGGTTCTCTGGAGGATACACAATGAGTACTGTAACTGTTGCAGTGCTCGAGTCAAAACTTCTACCGGATCTGCTGTGCCTATCTAAAGAAAAAAATAAAAAGGCATGTCAACATTAGACAAAGAAAGTGTGGATAAGCAATACCTACAGTGTTCCGTTGAACTTTTTCCTTTTTCAGTTCAAATTATTAAAAATACTGAAGTGCATCTACTAATGATGCAAGCATTTAACAGGATTTAACAATTAAAATTGTATGAGGCATTATGATTATAGACCTTTCTCTTGATCTATTACTAAAATGCATATGCTTTTCATGTGTTATACAGTCATTAATAACTTACACCATATGTAAATCCCAGAGACTGGAACTGCAAAAAGTCCAATACTGATGATAATCACAGTGATATATATATTTCCTGAAAGAAAAAAAAACAGTTACATTAATAGCTGATTCATTTAACACATAAACTCAGTATTTACAGTAGGTTAACATTCCCAACTATTTTTGTCCTTCCTCCAGTAGACTTAATTCCAAGTCTTAACTGCAGTTTTTGTTCAGCAGATACAATCCGAAAGAAAGCAGATTCCTTCACAAAAAATTAATTCACACTGAACATCAAGATTCCAGCATAGCTGGGATGAAAACTGAAAGAACATGTCCTTCAATAAAAAATGAAAAAAATCTGTCATAGGAGATTATATTCTAAAAGATATGATGTTTTTTTTAGTCAGACAAACAGAAAACATAAACTTGTGTCTGAAATGTCATATTTTTCTCTTTGTTTGGTACCTGTTTTTCTGGCTTACAAAATGAAATGAAAGTCTTACAATAAATATTGTGTGAAAACCAACTTTTGATTTGTCTTGGATTGTGTCCCTGTCTCTCTTTGTGATTTAAAATGTTTCTTGGAGGGATGTAATTCTATCATTCTTTGGAACATGTTATAGAGGATGACAAGTTTATCTCAAGTACTTACTAATTTGCTTAAATAGTTACTGTAAATGCATTACTATCACTGCCCACACCCAACATTGAACTAATGCATATTGTCG